TCAAATAAGATGTTTCTTTTAGGCCATATAAACCTACAGTCCTAAGAAGCCTTCACAGTTTGTAGTCAAAACTAGAATGCTCCTTGCTACCTTTATGTGGAACATTTCAAAAAGGGATGGGACATCCCTACTACCAGTGTGAAAGTTCATCTGGAATGCACAGGAAAGGAGGAAAACCTCCAACAGTTGTGGTTGCCTACATCTGGGGTGTCAGACCATGTCGAGCTCAGTGGAGGGAAACCACAGTCTCTGTGGGCACAGGAGAGGTCCTTCACACCATCCTGGAGTCATTGTCCCATGGGCAGAAATTGAAGCTGCCACCCCAGTGGGTATGGGGAGCAGGTACATGTCAAGGAGACACATGTGGGGGACAAGGAGGGGGCATGGAGCTGAACTGGCTAGACAGCGTCTGCTGTTCAATGGCGTGCAAAAAGCCAGCAGATCCAGGTTCTCACTGCTCTCAGAAAAAGCTGACTGGAGGAATGAATTTCCAAGTGCACCAGTAAAGCAATTCCTCCAGCTTTAATTTATCTACATCTTGCTTGACACCTTGAGGTAATCATTTGGCCTCTGCTGCTCCATCCACATCCTCGTTTTTCTAATTTCTGTCATATCTTCCTAATTAATATTACCCAAACCTATCCTTTTCTCTCTCTTCTCTGTTAAAACGTTTTCCTAGAACATGTCTGGCTCTGTATTTCTCTAGTTTAACGTTTTCAAACACCTTCTTAAAACGTGTCTTGTGCAACAACAGTAAATGCTCCTGAAATTAGGACTGTATTGTAGCATCACCCTACAACAGAGGTAGAGCTAGCCATGTCTTCTCACATTGACTACTTGTCTTAGCAGCATTAATAGTGTCATTTTACTGGAGTTTTCTTTTTGTCTTGTACGTAAACTGTTCATGTTTAAATTATCTGCATAACTGAGAGGGGAATTATCAGCAGAACCATTGGGAGCAATGCACAGAAGTATTTCATCTCCTCTAACATTTATCATACCTACACACAGAAGAACTTACACACATGCAGTGGGAAGGTGAGAGACCCAGTGCAGTCTCTGCCTTGCACAGAGACAAGCTCCAGGCTCCTGCAGAAGGTGACGTTCAGGCTGATGTTCTCTGTGCAAGACTCTCTAGATCAGCCTGCTGTGAGAATGGGGGTCTCGCTGTCTTCAAGGAGCTTCCAACTAAGTCTAATTTTTCCCTGAGTGAGACAATGATTCTCGCTGAGGCCTTGCCATTTCGCTGGGAATGGGCAGCATGGGACAGCAGGAGAAACATGCTGGCTGTGAAAGAAGTGCGTGGGAAGAGGCTACAGGTGTCAGCTGAGCATCGAGTGACGGACTAGTGGGGGAGGAGAGAGAAGGGCAGAACGGTGAAGAGCCGTGAAGGTGAAATCAGTAAGTCTGAATACGAGACGGTGGACAAGGCAGCGCCTGAGGAGAAATCCGAGGGGATGCTGACATGGTCGATGTGATGGAGGCTCAGGCCATGGGGACAGACAGGGTGTTGGTGAGCGGGAGGGAGAAGTATGGTATGCGCTTGGCCATGTTACAGCTGCAGTAGGATAGAGGGGAAAATAAAAGCCAGAGGTTTAAAAAACTGCAAGAGAAAACGAAGGATTTGGGTCTAGCCTGGAAGTGTGCGGCAGAAGAAAAGTCGAAGGTAAAGAAGCCTCCCAATTTAAGCGACTTTTGCAGTGAGAAGTCGGGGTTGTTTCTCAGGCAGTCTTACACACTACAGCAAGCAGTCCTGCTATGGAAAACAATAGACATATTTTGAGCACTTTCACATCACATACATGAGACCGGTATTTGCTGTAGCTTGCATTCCTCGCTGCTCCTTGCCAGCCGGGAGGCAGTGGCCTCCAAATTGGGCAAGTCAAAGGCTTCATGATCACAGCATTGTTTCTTCAGCATGGGTGCTAATGGTTGTCTGCAGAGTCGTGGGCTCCAGAAACCAGGAGAAAAGTTTGTGGCTGATCTTGCTTTCTTCGCCTCCCCCTCCCCAACCCTGCCACTAGTCGCCAAAGGAGATAGCTGTGCTGGAAATGTAGGGGAGAATTTAGAGCCAAACAGGGAAGAGTAAAAGTCTTATTTTGTGATGCTGCTCTGCTGGCTCACTCACTGTTTGGGCCAGCTGTTCAACAGGGAGACAAGAGCAGCAAATGAAATATTTTCTGTTCCTATGGAAAAAAACATGGTGACATTTTTCTCCATAGAATTTTTCAAGTTTGTCTAAAGCAGGACTTCTTGACAATTTCCCGACAACCTGGGGCTAGACTCTGTTACAGCAATTTACTTGGGATCTGCATAGCAGATACATTTTAAAAGGTCATATAATGGTGGAATATCTTTCTGGGGCCAGACAGAATTGTCCCCCCAGGCTACCAGTTGGAGAGCTCTAGCTGGGTTAAAAAAATGCAAATGCTATGTTTTTACATGTAGAGTTTTGGGAAATGTTTAAGCAGAAAAAGGAAAGAGTTTTCTTACTCTCAAAGTTAACAAAATCCCTTCTTTTCCCTCAGGAAAAAGTAATTTTGTTTCTTTTAAAAATTGACTTTCTGAACAAAAAATAATAATCAGCACAAGCTTCAGTGGACTTAGCAAAACAAATGAAAGGTCTGATTATCTGTAATACCTTCCACATTTTTACATTGCTCTAAAGCTGAAAGCCAGCAGGATGGGAAGGTTTGAAGAGTAGTGTGATGTACTTGTGATAATTAGCTACCTGTACTTCTGCTATTTCTATCCTTCTGGAGGTGGTGCACATGGCACCATAGGCAACATGTTTATCTGAGACCAACAGTCACAGCAGGCTCTCAGATCTATGGGAAAGCATGCTAAAGCCAGGGAAAGCTGGGACTTGACATCCAGGACCTGAAACTGACTGGACTTTGATATTTGTGTCTCGGAAGCTAGTATAAGGTGACTAAGATTCTCTAGCAATCTCTAATTCCTGCTTTTGCTTGCTTGTGTGCTTGAGTCTACACATACAAAGGGCACCTTCCTGCTTTCAGGCTGGAATATCTCACCATTAGGCTTGGAGGTTACCTCATCAAATAAGTTAATGTTTAGGTTCTCCGAGTAAGACTCAATGTTAAGAAAAATTTGTTAAGATTCCTCAGTTCCTGCTGAGCTATAAGCCATGACCTCACAGTACCTTGGAAGCAGCAATAAAGCCAGCCCCACAAGCTAGGTACGTGTTGCTGTCCTCATGGATACTTGTAGCCTGAGAGCCTTTGAGTTAAGGGAAGATAAGTTGAATACCTGTCCAGAAGATACTCTCCCTTACTGCACTTGTCTCTCAGCTCTGTTCTTCTCCATTTACCTTTGGTCTTCCCACTTGTCAATATGTGGAGATCCAGGCTCAGTAGTCTCCTAAATAGTTATGATAGGAATGACAATTTCATTGCCAAAGGTCCATCTCTAACCTGTGGGTATCCTTAGTGCATTAGTTTTCAATGTCACCTACAGCTGTGCTGGTCTGCTCATCTTGTTATGAGCTTTTATAAGGTTAAAGCTCTAAAAAGCAGGTGGGCTCTGGAGAGAATGGGACTAATTTGTAATTTCATATTTGAATTTCCCAACTGCCTTTTCACATCAAACTCTTTTGTCCTTCATTCTTCCAGTGCTTGAGAGTGCAGAAACCCAATGACTTCTGGCGAAGGAGAACGCTATGTCCCTTTACATCAGGGGACAGGCCTCCTTCAATCAAAGGGGAAAATAATCTGAATGGGCGGGAGGAACTGTGCATAGAGAAGGGGCACGAAACTCTTGGAAGTACTGTCTGACATGCACCACAGCTAGCAAGGGATGAGGTAAGAGTTTTGGGAGGTGGGCTGTCCAGGAGGAGGAAAGGGAAGGCAGCATGGAACGGAAGCATAGTGTGAACACTGAGAGTGGCTTTAAAATCAAATGAAACTCCAATAAGTCTTAACATAGGACGTTTGTCTGCAAGACAGAGTCCAGAGCAGCTGCAAGTAACAGGAAAAGAAAAGCAAAGGTTTATCCTGTCGCACTTCTCAGAGAAGGTCTGCAAAGAGCACAGGATGGTGGGGAACCAGAAATTGCACATGCCAGTGGTGAGCACAGGGACGGGGGAGATCCACTGTCTACCAGGTGGATGGGATCAATTGTGGCAGAGTTTCCACACCGCCGCGCTGCCAGAAGGGATTCTTCACAACAACGCCTTTGCAAACAGCGGGGTCCCACTGTGACACCATGCACTATCACTGTGTGGCTGTTGGCTTGCCTAGTCCTCCATTTGTGGGTGCAGCTCAGGGTGTCCCTAGCAGGTGGATCACAGGTAGCTGGGGCTGTGCTCTTTCCATGCTCTGGCTGGCGGAGTTGAGCCAGCAGCGCGGCCAGAGCCATGTGGGCACAGTGCAGCTTTGGAACCCAGCCTCTTAGCACGTTCTGGCTGGGGTCCAGCAGGCTCAGAGCATGGCTGCTTGCGGTCCACAGAGGAGCCATTCCCCCAGAAGACCACGCTTTCAGATGATGTTCAGCCTTTGTCCCCTTGCAGTCTGAGGCATCACAGCTGCTGGAAAGCTGCCCCCACAGCTCTGTCTTTCCTTCAGCCCCATGACCTGCTTTTTCCTTTCTCTTAGGTGTAGAAATTCTCCTTCTGCCACATGCTCCCGCTGCTGACCCTGTCAGCATTTCACCTATCCCCCAGGCCCTTCCTTGTCGCTCCAGATGCTTTAGTTTTTTTCTGTACCCTCCCCACCTCCCCTTCCAAGGGGGGACATTATCCACCACTAGTAGCAGCCGCAGCACCCCGCTGCTGGTGAGATGCCCAACCTTCGCCTCTAAGCAGTGCACACAACTCTGAGCATGAGACAATTAGGAGAGAAAGAGGGAAAGGGGAAAGTATTGACAGGAGTAAATTGAGAGAAATCATAAAGCTTAAGCAGAAAGAAAGCAGTTTGAAAGGTAAAGTATTCAGAGAAAGCCCTTTCCTGGATGAATCTAATTGTTTTGTTATCTTTACCCACCAAAGCATTTACTTTGGTTTGTCGCCCGATCCACAAACACTTTCGAGGAGATGACATTACCGAAAGGCAGGAACATCTGCATCAGCTCAGCATCCCCAAACTCCTGGGGCAGATGGTAGATAAACAGGTTACAGCCCTCTGGTCCTATCAAGAGAAAAAGAAGACCCATGAATGGAGAGAAATAGGATATGAGAAAGCAAATGGTGGAGATTTACTTTGGCATGCCCTCTCTCTGACTGGTGACAAGTCACCTCTAGGAAGCAGTCTGTAGTCTCAGAGGAACAGCCAAAGCAGAAGACCAAAAGCTCAGAAAGTCACCTTAAATTTCCCAGGACAGACACCAGGACAAAACCTGGAGACAGAAGAATGCAGCAAGACACGTGGCCATGGAAAGACAGATGGAGGAATAAGAACAAAAAGAATGAAAGAATGCTGTTCACAGTTTTTCTTTGCTCCCCATAATCTCATTTAATCTGTAGAGTTTTAGATGACCCACACTACCCCTTGCCTCTTCTCAGTGTCTGCATACAGAAGTTTCATTATCCTTCTTGTGTCTGTGTGAGGACTGTAATAACAAGTAGAAATATATGCACAAGCCCAAAGGCTTAGTTTGTTTTGTAGAATTTTACATTCAACCTCCCAACTTGACTCAGCCTAAAGACTCCACCAAATCTGGGCAGTTTGGCTGTCCCCCATTCTAGAGTGTTCTGCAAGGGAGATTACAGCTGGATTTAACTCCAAAGTGCTAGACAAGAAGAATTGCCTTTTTTGCCTCAGTGCAGTAACACATACATGTAGACGTCAGAGGGTGCTTGAAAAAAAATCCAGAGAGGACTCTTTAGTTGGAATACGCAGTTTTGTTAAAGTAGAGACCCTCATAAAATGTTCTGTTGAAATTATATTTTTAGGCAGAAGAGGGAGAAATTGCCTCTGGTCAAACAGCCTAGAATGAAACTTCAATGTGACTTATTTTTAAGCATGCTGTACTTGAGCAAAAGTCAAAAGGGAACAGGTGTGTCCAAGTGATTTTGTTGAAAAAAATAACCATTTAAACCCCTTGCAGTGTTCACTAGCAGAAAACTGCATAGTTTGAGGAGGCAAGGATTGTGTTTTCATGGTCTCATTTTTAAAGGTACTTCCAGCTGCTGCCCAGCTCTGCACTGACCTCAACAAGTAACCCCAGCTCTGCTGTGCTCAGGGGGGTCAAGATGAAGAGGATACAGTGCATCTTTCTTGCCATGTGTGTAAGAGGACAGAGGGAAGGAGGGTTTCCTCCTTCCCCTCAGCCCATGTGCCTACAACCCTGTGACCTGACCCAGCCAACTTTCCCCCATTTATGTCTGGGGCACAATGTGGGGAAGGAAAGGGGTTTTTAATACTCTCGTTTATTTCATCAGGGCATAATTACGGTGTCATAACACAGCAAATTACAACTTTGCCTTTCCTGTTAGGGAGAGGAGTTCGCCTAGATGCTCCCACCTTTTATTAGCCATTACTCATCCCCCCGGCTGGCAGGAGAAGTACGGCGAAGTCAGGATTCTGACAGATGCCCATTTAAAGCTCATTAAAATTCCTGGGCCTCAGCGTGATTGAAGTCACAGGCTCTCCACATTTCCTTTTGGATTAATGGAAAATGAAGCCCTAATGAATATTTGCTAAGCACAATTTTCCCCACTAATTTGCTAAAAGGACTGTCACGAAGGAACAGCTGATCCTTTGCATCTTGTGCATTTCCTAGAGGTCATGAGGATGGTAACAGGGTTTCTTCCAAATGGGAGGGATAGTGGTACGGTGGGATAATTAACTAATTAGGCACCCGGTCATCTGCTTAGCTAAATTACTTTTGAACCTCAGTGGCCCACAATCAGGCTCCCCTATTTCATGCCAAGCTTTTCCATCTTCCCCCACCTTCCGTCTGTCTCTTCCTTAGTCTTCTCACTGAGCAGCTATCCTTTCTCCAGTCCTTGCTGCAGTTCATTTCCATGCAATGTGGAGTCATTGGCACAATGAACCAGACATGAAACAGTCTGAAAGTGTTAAACAAACACTGACCCCCTTAGGTGTCTGTTAGAATTGAGAAAATTCTGCCCAGGAGAAGACCACAGTCCAGAATAGCAGGGAAAAAATTCACTCCTTCATCTAAACGTGCCCCAGAGCACTTCTTCTGTGGGATTTGAGATCCACATTATAATAGAATGGGTAAAATCTTGGCTTTGCTGCAATTAGTGGCAAAATTCCCACTGACATCACCAGAGCCAGCAGTTTGCTCTGTAAAACTGGCAAATTCTTTCAAAAATGCCAGCTGCATTTCCTGGGGTCTTGGATGTGTTGTGCATGAGTAGGGGTTCTGCCTGCGTGTGCTGAGAAACACCTACTAAGGCATAAGACAGGCGAGAAGGCACACAACATCTACACCAGGTTTAGAAGCTGGGCTCAAGGAGAAAACAACCCTCAGTTCACCTTGAAATCAGCTTTGCCTCACACTGCTCAGGGATTGAGAGGAAGAGACCAGTGAAGATGTGAAAAAGCAGAGAACATCCTCACAGCCCGGTTCAGCTCTGAAATGTGGCTGGGAAACCCATGCTGTGACTGCCCGTACTAACTCAGACACACTGAGTTCTCACTCTTGCTCCCGACTTCAGAGGGTTTTTGCTAATTTCCAGTGCTGAAAACTCCACCTGCTACCGAGAAACAACCTGGGGTAGTTTGATTTGTGATACCACTCTCACATATGAAAATTCTGTCATCAGAATTTAACAAGAAATTTCTTGTTAAATTCATCCATTCGTAAGTTACCTATCACAGTTAGACTCCTTGGTAAAGAGTTAAAAACCAAGCTCCCTCTGTCTCAGCTCTTCTACCTTATTGTGCTGGGTTTTTTTGCCTAAGTCAAGTTAATCTTAACTCTCCATGGAAGATTGCGTTTATGTGTATGGCTACCTCTTTGTATATGTGTGTATATTTTTAAGCCCAAAGACAGGAGTTTTTCAGCTCAGTGCTATGAAGACCTAAGTTAGATCTCAGCGCACACATTCAATGACTATTAAGGGACTTGGTCAGGATCAGTGGAGCAAGAGGAAGATCGCAGCTGGTGTGGCAAAACCTTAGTGAAGTCTCCGACTATTGTGTTGGAGAGAAAGGTCTTGTTTTGGACTGAGTTAATGGATTATAGGAGGTCAGTATACTTGGCAGCTCAGGGCTGAATACAATACTAAAATTATTCACCACACACTTTACTTTGTTTTTCAAAAAGGCTGTAAGTCAGCTCAAAATCTAACCCTCATGACACATTATGAGAAGAGAATCAAGGTTCATTTCTGCTCTGATGTCTACCATGGCTCTTGGTTTTCATGGCTTCAAGTTATAGATATTTCTGTTCATTAACACACAAGAAGCACAGATAACCTTGATTTGAACAAAAAGAAAAGAAAAGTTTTAAGGAACACATCATTTATGAATGGTCTGTAAATTATAGGCAAATTATGCTGGATAACTGAAAAACTCATGATTGAGGGCACAGAAGTGTGTGATAGAGAACTCTGTGGTGGCTCCATGTTGTTTTGATTTGGAGCTGAGCTGCTAAGCCATTGCTCTGCCCATGTTTCTCTCCCTCCAGCTCATTGTTAGCTATTTAGCATGGGAACAGTTGCAGACCCAGCCTACCCCTGGGTGTCCACTGTCAACATGAGTAAACTCCATATACCTGTGCTGACATCAGCTATCTATCATTGCATCCCCGACACTGTGAATCAGTGCCATAAGGAAAGGTTATGACTAGACTACTCTTCCAATAGTAATTAAAAATGGGCTATCCTGAAAGGCTGTATGAAGTTAGCCTGCAGGCCTTCGGTCAGCTGCACACTGCACCTCTACAGCGAATACTCGAAGGCTGAAATTTCATTGCCTCTCCTGTGTCTGCTTGCTATTCAGTTCCCAGCATCTTTGAGCACAGGGCAGATGGGGGTCACAAGCCTGCAACACTTTATTTTAATACCTAACTGTACTTCTGAGTTTCAGAAACTACGTAAGATGAGTAATACCATACGAATTTGAAATTACCCCCAAGTTTTGCCTGGTTGATATGGCCTGAATCAAGACTTCATCTCTAGCTTTGATCGTTTTGGATCTGTTCCACTCTATGCATCCCATCAGCTGCCGGCAGCCTCAGTGCTCATGTGGAAGTAATGACTAATCTCTACAGGAATGTTTCAGCAGCCAAGCAGCTCTGGGCTTGTTATCCAACCGGGATCTGGAAGCGGAGAGCTAGCATTGTTATTAACAATGTGATCATCGATGTTATTGTTGTGGTAGGGCTGGTTCATTAACGAATCAATGTTTGTGCACATCCCTGCAAACATGAAGTACTCTTCTCAGCGCTGTGCATTATTATAGTTAGAGTTCCCTCTTGCTGTGTTTTCCTGTTAAAGGTTAGGGATGCTTAAAGGTCTTGACCCTCTGCTAAAAGAGAGGGTCGTGTCTTAGAATTTCTCCCTCTAGAAAGCAGGAGAGTAAGCCACAGCATCTAAAGATTGCAGGAAAATGGAGGACACTGGGAACAGCAACTTTAATCAGACTGGTGTTTTATCGCATATATTTGGCCACCAACCATTCTCAGTGCTAGCTGCTTACAGGAAGGAGCGAGAAGGTATGAGACAACTTGTCCACTTGGTGACACTCACCCCCAGTCCACTGAGACACACCATGCCTTGTGAAAACAGAGGTCTTTGGGCAGTGGGTCTTCAAGGAGTGCACAACAGCTATCCCTTTCTGCTGATGGTTCCTGGCACAATGCTACGCTGAGCAATGATCTGCTCGCCATTTTGTCCTATGCTTAATCTAGCCCCAGTAAGTAATAAAAAGCAAAGTCCTTCAGCATGGGGGAAACATCTCTGTAATGATACGTTAGGTCTGTGCATCTGTTCTCACAGCAGGGACGTGTACTAGAGCTAATCAGGAGCTGGAAGTTCTGTTCCCCAGGAAATTCTGACATTGGAAAAAAATTAATTCCAAATTAGATCGAAATGCCAACATTTCTAATTTTCTTACAAAATGACATTTCTCCTCCAAAGTAGTTCTAGGCCATCAGAATGTTTTAGTCTGATAGTGTAATCTTGATTCATTTTATTCTGACTGTTACACTATATTAAAATATTAAATGTCATTATATATATATAATAACACGTCTAACATAGAATATATCTGAATTAGTGATCTAATAGAGGATAAAAGTTGAAATGTAATTATTTAAAATGAGGGTCTCTAAGCTGAAGCATCTGACTTAAATGCCTTATTTAGGCAAGCAGTCTCCTCTTCTAGTCAAAAGAGTGGTGGACTCCCTGGAGGGAGGTTGAGACTACCTGGGAGGGTTACCTGCAAGGATCCCACTGCTCCCTACTGACTGTGAGGGGAACATCATATGGCATGATCATCTCCCAAAACATTTACGTGCAATAGTGGGAGATTCACCTCTCCTTAGTTTTCATGCCTCCATTGCAGCCAACCTGTCCTGCAAACTAGATAACCCAGGCTCCTCTTATAGTCATTGTAGAGAAACAAGTACATTTACTATATGATTCATCTCACTCTGATACAGATAATGTGCTCTAAAAGGGCTGATTTCTGTTTCCAGGTTGTCAATGGAGTCTGAAAGGACTAGACTAATCCTTTTAGACTCGACTTTTAAATAGCAGGTCCTCTTTCTCTAAATAACAAGTGTCTGAAATCGTATTACTGGTTTCTAATGAAGGGCCACCAGTGCTTGGTTTCCTATTAAATTCTTTGTTCCAATGCAATTGCATTTTCATCCTCATTCCTGTTGCTTGTCTCTAACACACACCCCCACTGGACATTACTGCCTGTATTGTCAGCAGGTCTTTCCATGGCCCATGCACATGAGCATTCCCCTCTCCCTGGGGACCGAGGAGATCTCAGCAGTGACTCCCCATGAGGATGTTCCCGCATATCACTGTTAGTGCTAATGATGCCGTGCCACATATGGAAATTGGGAAAAGACTCAGTGGACCAGGGATTCAGAGCAATCGGGTGTCTAATGGATAGTCTCTAGGCATATGAGGAGGTGAACCAATGTGGTAGGGATGGTGTGCTAGGGTCAGAAGGAGGAGACCTCATTTACTCACCTTCTCTCTGTTGCTGTGGGATCATGGGAGGTGGCTGTGGGAACGCTTGGCTTATCTGGCCATAAGCAGCAGGATAAGCAGCTATAGGGGAGAGAAAGGGAGAGAAGAAAGAGGGACAGATTTCAGTGCTGGCGAATAAGGAGCTTTCACTCTAAACCACCATATCAAGCTAGAGATGGAGTCCCTCTGCAATTTGCCTCTGTGAAGGACCGTCTCACACAGCCTGGTATGTGGCAGAAGCACCACGGTGGTGCTCCTGGACACATGGCCCTGAGCACTCTTCTTCCCTTCAGCTTCATCAGCAGTAACACCAGGGACAGTCACAAGGTGTAAATGGGGTCTCCTCTGAGATCTCCCCCAGCAGAGATGCACAACCATCCCAGATGGTACCACAAGCACATCTATTCATGGGCTCAGCGTGCTGATGTCGTGCTGACAGCGCACCCAGAGTGCACGCACACGTGTCCCTCTGCAATCTCTCTTGCACCCTGATTAATTCACATGCTCATAAAAACAGTTCACATGTATGTTTCCTCCCTTACTCTAACCTTCATATGCCCACACACTGTATAGGCACAGTTGCACATACACTGTCGGATATACGTCTTCTTTCATGTCTGTAGAGACGTCCTCTCTCTCACACAAACACAGTAGAAACAGTGTGCAGCAATTAAACAATTTTCCCCACCTCAGCTCCCCCACCAAGCAGACAAGGGGAGCCATTCAGAACCACAGATGGTAGATGATGTGCCTTGCTGCTAAAAATACAGAGTACGGGTCGCCTGCGAGCCCAGAGAGAGGGGGATAGGGGCCATGTGTGTGCAGAGGGGTTAATTAACAGCTCAAAGGGTTGAGCCGCTTCCCATCTATCAAACCTCACAAGCAATAAATGACAATAACTAAAACACCGGCAAATGAAGCCCTACATGGAGAATTAAATTAAGTTTCCAGATACAGCCCTGACATGAGATAATAGCCATTCCTCAGCGGGAGTCCATGATTGCTCCAGTTACCACAGGAAATAATGACTTCGGGGTGGCAGCTTCCTTGCAATGTTGGCCATGGACAGCTCGCGAGGGGAAGCTGAACACGGCAGGGTCATTGTCTGCACCAGGTCATTTTGGCTGGTGTCAGTCCATCAACTGCAAAGGAGGTGCTTGGCCTACAGGGTGAAGCGAGTGGAGGCTGACCCGCTGGGAGCCACAGAGAAAGCTGTGGGGAAGCCAGGAGTATGTCTGCATAGCTCCTAAGCAAGCCTCAAACTAACTAGCTAGGCTATGGTCAGCATAGACATACCCTAAAATGTGGGTGTATGCAGACATACCATACCCTGTTAGGCGCTGCAGGGTCTGATTGCCCATCTCCCCTTCTTGCTGCAGCACTTAGGAGATATGCTACAGAAGATGGCCCCCAAATCAGTGGCCTGATTTTGCACTCATGCGCTGTGCTAAGCAGACCTGACCAGGACCCGTCAATGAAGCTGCACTGAGGTAGAGGTCAGTGGGAACCTTTCCCTGGAGAAAGGGAGGAAGTTGCCTCCTTAGGGAGAGAAGACCTTGGGCTTGATGTTTGTTTTCACAAGAAGTGCAAATTTCATCTGAGAATGTGTGGCCATCGACTCATCACTCTGTCAGCAAACACCTCCCTTCCCCCAGCCCCCCAGGTGCGTTTAGAGATTAAAGGCTTCAGAGAAGAGAAAGGTTTATTGGGAGAAAGTGTTAATACTAACGACCTGCGTACTGCTGCACTCCAGCGTAGGCTTGCTGCAAGGGGTCTGCTGCAGTGGGGCTCTGTGCTGTGGAGACACAAGAGAGAGAAGGAATTAATGGATTAAAGCATGGAAGGAACTCCCCTTTTCTCTTTCATCATCAGTATGTGGTGTGGGACAGACAAACCCAGGGGCTGAAGGTTCCAGAAGAGGAGCAGCTCGCTCACCCTATGGACAGGACTGCACAGACCCCCCCATGATGGCCAGGAGGGCTCTGTACCAGGCTGTCACTCTGTGAGAGTTTGGAGAAGAGGGTGAACAAACCTCTCCCCTCCTTTCCCAAGCTTAAATTATGGAGCCCATCTCTGATCACGCAGATTTTTGGCATTGCAGTAATCAACCTCAAAGAGTCCTCATCTTAAGCCAGGACTGACACTGTGCTAGGTGCTGTGCAAACTCAGATCTCAGTGACAGCTACAGTCACATGAAGCTTTCAGTCAGAACAGAAAACATCAGGGGCATAGCAGGAGGAAGGAGAATAGAACAAAGCAGTGGCTCCTGCCGTCCTAACATCCCTTCGAAGGGCTGCGTTGCTGCCAGGTAGCCCCTTGCGAGAGAGGAGCTGCTGCTGGGAGGGGAGGGGGACACTGCTTGTCTCCTCCAGGGAGGATGCTGTGAATCTCTGCATAAGGCATGCAGTCCCTCGCTGGCTTCAAAGTCCATTTTCTCTCTTTACAAGTGTGCATTCCTCCCCCCTAAAACTGTTTATTTTTGTGAAACTTTGAAGTTTAGCTCAAATATAACCAAAGCTAGTTAGGATTTTTTTTTTTTTTCCCTTTTCCCCTGTGGTTGATAGGGAGAGAAAAGAGAGAGAGAGAGAGAAACGTGTTGGATAAGCTCTTTCTTTATCTGCAGCAATAAAATATTTAAAGCAAAGCTTGGCTGAACCTCCAGTCCAAATGTCACCTTGGCCCTAATATTTCACTTCTTGTTATGAGTTTAATTTGTATTTATTGGTGCTGCGCAGTTCTACATTTATGCAGTCCCTCTGGCTTTGTACTTGTAGGATGATCCCTTAGGGAACTATTGCTTTCCCCTCTCCATACCACCTTCCTCCTTCCTATAAGCACAGAGGTGTGGCTGGAGACAGGAGCTTGAAGGTTGCAAAGGTGCAGGGCTCTTAGAAAGAAATCTGGTGCATTGACCCATTCGAGGAGAGACACTGATTTTATGCCATAGTTTGGAGGAGGCTGGCATACATTGTGGACCCAAGGAACATGGACAAAGTGTTTTCTTACAGATGCAAATACCAGCTTGACCCTTAATGTCAAAGATCATCATTGATCATGATAGAGGCTTGCAAGGTCTTGGACTTATCTCCCCAAATACAAAGAGGAATGGTGAGAAGAACAAACTTTGAGAGAACAAACCCAATTAGCTGGCTAAGGCTTGGAGGCTTCTTTCGTTACGGGCATTATTGGAGAGCAAGGACTTTGAGGATGGGGTCGTCAAAGGAAGAAATAAGTGGGACTACAGTCTTACATTGGAAGTTGTTTGGTTGATTTCCTAGCTGACTTTTGGCAGGTCCCTCAGTATATGTGTATGTGAAATGGGAAAGCACTGCCCTACTGAAAGGATTTTCACTCCTTGAAAAGGAGTGTGAGAAGAATATATTAAAACCTGTGGGAGACCAGTGGAAGGCATAGTAGAGATGCAAAGCTATGTTTTTTAGAAATTAATGCTCCAGGAAACTGGAGGAAATGTTTGGAAAATATAAAAACTGTTTCCACTTATACCTGCCTTCCTGAAGAAGGAAGCTACTGAAATCTGCTCTTTTTAATCTCTGTTCAAAACTATTGCCCCTAAAAACAGTCTGTTAATCATATTGCTCCAGAATAAAACTGAGTGGCTATGACAGATTGAGTGATGCACCAGTTCCTTCACCCCTTTGGGAAAATGGATCTTGGACTCCCCAAAATGGCCAAGATATCTCCTGAGTAAGGTGAGGGGACATGTGGTAAAGGGAGCAAATCTTTATAAGACAACTATGGTTTTGCAGTTTGCAGTAAAGGCGATGATCCTTGAGTTGTCAAGAGCTGTCTCAAAGGCAACTGCCCTTCCGTGGTTGCACTCGTCTGTTTATGAAGCTAGAAGAAGAAATTGTCTCCGCTGCTCAGGAAACGCTCAGGGCATTTCCTTCCTCTCCAGCTGAGGCTGGACTTGGACATGCTTGTTCTCTCTCTAACCTGCTGATAGCTAGCAGTTATTGCCTGTTTGTTGATACAGAAGAAGTCATTGAGCAGTCTGTGATCCTTTTCTTTATTCCTTGCCTTAGTTGGGCACACGTGGAAACCGCTTACTCTCCCAGCTATAGCTGAGTCAATGTCCTGAGCAGGACCGCCTAGATCACTGCTGAGCTGCTCTTCTCATTCATCTGTGGATATCTCACCTGCCTTTGAAGACATACTCTGCCCCTCATAACCAGGCCATTCAGCTTAGGAAATATATACTGAAAGTCACGGTTCATCTTTAACATTAAATATTAAAACTGGCCACATGCTTCATTTAAATGCTTCATTTGGAACAACAGGCCTTTAAATGCAGCTTTTTTCCCTCCCACACAAAGCTTTTAGAGTTCATTGTGTTCCTGGATCTTTACAACTTGTGAGCAAGGACAGTATCTAAGCAGTTGTGTCTTTCTCAGGAGGCTGCCTTGTGCCCCAGATCATACAGGTAATTTCATACATTCATAGATTCATAGATTTCTAGGTT